GGCCCAAAGCCTTGGGATCCTGTAGCCACACAGGAGGCACAGAGGCGGCTCCTGGATCCTGGGATCTGTGGCCATCTGAGGAGTGAACAGATGAGGGAAGTTCTTGCTCTCTTTCCTTCTCTCTACAAATCTGCATTTCCAATAAAAATATCTTTTAAAAAGAAAAAAAAAAAGATTTTTCTCAACCCTGGTGCAATGAAGCTGACCATGTCTCCTAACTATCAAAACCACTCAAAATAACACCCTTAGAGCATTCTTCCCGACCGGGGCCTTTAAGGCCACTTGCCCACCCCCAGGTGCTGATGTGATCTGACAGCAAGGAGCAGCGCTCTCCCCTCTCCCCTTGTGAACACAGGAGGAACAAAGGAAAAAGAACTGAAACACTTTCTCCACCCACCTTCTTCCATACCTCAACTCTCCCCACCCTAACTGGAGATCTACATGGGTGTGCATCCCTCTCAACCATACAAACACTATTAAACATAAAATTAAAAATTTAGAAAAACAGAAAGAGAAAGTGGAACAGTCTGGACTTAAACTGGCACTTTTAAGAGATCCCAGCCCTGCAGGTGGCAGCTTAACCATCTGCGTCCCAATGCCAGCCTCCAGAGGGAGGGAGCACGGGAGGGACCTTCTATGCAGTTTTACTCCCCAGATGGCTGCAGTAGCCAGATTAAGCCAGGCTGAAGCCAGGAGCCAGGAGCCTCGCCTGAGTCTCCCACACAGCTGGCTCTTTCTGGGCCCTAGGCAAGGCTGGTATTGCAGGCAGTGGGTTTACCTGCCACTCTACGGCCAGTCCCGGCAGTGATTGCATTGTAGTTTATCCTGTTCAGGGTTTATGAGATCTTTTAACGCCTGGAGAGATGTCTTTCACCATATTTGGGGCTTTTCCTAGATAACTTTTTCAAACATTTTTGTCTACAACAGGCTTTTCACTCTTCCTTCTGACTCCAAAGTGTTAGAACTTTTGATGTTGTCTAATAGGTCCCCAAACATTAATTTTTTCTTTCAATCTTTTTCATACCTATTATTCAGATTAGATTTTGGTCATCAAACAACCTTTGAAATGGACTGCTTTTCTCCTAGTGAACACATTCAGTGGGATTTTCTATTTCCATAATTTCTTAGCAATAAAATATTTATTTTGCTCTCTTCACATCCTCTACTTTTTTGCTAAGAGTTTGTAATTTCCCCTTTATTTCAAATAGATTCATCCTTACTTGCTGGAAGATTTTTTTGCTTTGTTTTTATTGTTTGTAAGATTTATTTATTTACTAGAAAGAGTTATTGGGCCTGGCACTGTGCCCTGGCTGTTAAAGTCCTCACCTTTCACACACTGGGATCACATATGGGCGCCAGTTCTAATCCCAGCAGCCCCGCTTCCCACCCAGCTCCCTGCTTGTGGCCTGGGAAAGCAGTCAGGGTCGGCCCAAGACCTTGGGACTCTGCACCCGTGTAGGAGATCCGGAAGAAACTCCTCCTGGCTTATGGCTTCAGATTGGCTCAGCTCCGGCCACTGAGGTCACTTGGGCAGTGAACCATCGGATGGAAGATCTTCTCCGTCTCTCCTCCTCTCTGTATAGCTGACTTACCAAGAAAAACAAATCTTAAAAAAGAAGAAGAAAAGAAAAGAGTTTCTCTCTACCAGTGTACACCAGAAACGGCCCCAATGCCAGGGTTAGGTCAGGCCAGAGCCAGGAGCTTCTTGAAGCCTTCCCGCGGCAGCAGGAGCCCAAGGGCTTTCTGCATCTCCCACGGCTTTCTCAGGTACATTAGCAGTGATCTAGATTGGCAGTGAAACAGACTGGACTAACACTGGTGCCATATGAGATGCCAAACGCTGGCCATGAACATTTTAATAACGGCTCCTTTACCCTCTATCACAGAACTTCAATAACCCTGTTGTCTAAATGTCTTGTACTGGGCATACCTCACTGTTTGGAAATCATTAACTTTTCATTTATGTTCTTTCAGTGATTACCTCTAGCAGACTAACTTAAACCTCAAGATAATCAATTTAAGACACTAATAGGTCATTCCTGCCTGGTATATTTCTATTTTGGTTTTTAAGTACCCAAATTAATAATTACTGTTAGTGTCCTAAAACATCAACACCAACAACTTCTTCCTTACATTCACATTCTTTCTATTTGGTTTCACATTCTTTCTTCTTCAAATATACCATTAAGTACTCTTAAGTTAGTTTAAAATGAGTTTTCCTTCACCAATCATCTTTGATTGCTCAGATGGGTATATACTTTCCCTTAAAGATCTGTTAATGTAGAGGCGAGCATTGTGGCTTCGTGGATTAAGCTGCTGATTGATATTAGCATCCTATATCATGAGTGCTGAGCCTTGGCTGCTCCACTTCTGATCCAGCTTCCTGCTAATGCCCCGGGAAGGCAGCAAATGACACTCCAAATGGGAGACCAGAATGAAGTTGCTGGCTTCACAGCCTGGCCCTGCTCCAGCCACTGTGGGCCATTTGGGTAGTCAACTAGCCAAGGCAAGCTCTCTTTCTCTCTTTCAAATTGAAATAATAGTAAATGCTTTAGTCCACTGTTTCTTGTTTCCTTAATGGTTGCTCCTTTCAAAGTAACCTGCCTGTTTTTTTGCTTTTTTAAAAAAGCTTTTATAATCCTGTTTATCTGTGCTATTCTCCAGTTCTGCATCACCAGATACATCTGGATGTGGGTGTATGTTATCTTGTTAGGAACCCTGCTTTCAAAAGCTAAGGAACTCATGTCTTGATTCATGTCTTACATATCACTTTTTTGTTTTGGGCCCAGCATGGTAGAATAATGGCTAAAGTCCTTGCCTTGCATGTGCTAAGATCCAATATGGCTGCTGATTTGTATCCCGGCAGCTCCACTTCCCATCCAGCTCCCTGCTTGGGACCTGGGAAAGCAGTCTATGATGGCCCAAAGCCTTGGGACCTGCACCTGCGTGGGAGACCCAAAAGAAGTTAAGCAGTTCCTGGCTCCTGGCTTCAGATTGGCTAAGCTCCAATCATAACAGCTGCTTGGGGAGGGAAGCAGCAGAAAGATAATCTTTCTGTCTCTCCTCCTCTCTGTATATCTGTCTTTCCAATAAAAATAAATAACTCTTAAAAAAAATTTCAATCTCTCTCTCCCTTTCTGTAACTCTGCCGTCAAATAAATATGCATAAGCATATACATTTATATAATATATATTGTATATATTTAATTCATTTGAAAAGCAGTGAGAATGGGACACACGTTACGACTGAGCAGGTAAATTGCCATCTTGGCACCAGCTGAAGCCCCAGCTGCTACACCTCTAAGCCAGATGCCCGGGTAGCAGCCTGGGAAAAGCAGCAAACAGATGTCAAGTACTTGGGCTCCGGCTACCCACAGGGGAGACCCGGGCGAGGCTCCTAGCTCCTGGACGTAGCCTGGCCCAGGCATGGATGTCACAGTCATCTGGAGATTGCATCAGCACATGGAAGCTCAATCCCTCCCTCTCTCTACCTGTGGCTCTTTCAAACAAGTAAGTAAATAAAAGGCACTGAACAAGGGCTGGACAGAAGTTGTCCTCCATCCGCTGACTTGCTCAGCACACGCCCTCAGGAGCCAGGATTAGGCCAGGAACCCCATGTAGGTCTTGCACACACTAGTGCACTGTCTGCCACTTCCTCGCTGCACTGGAGCAAGGTGGAGCAGAAGTGCATGAGCCTGGCCCCGAACCAGGAAGTGCAGTATGGGATGCAGGCATCCCTGGCCCGCAATCCTTCTTCATGTGTCTTATATTCTAATCATCACAATTCTAGACTGTTTCATTGTCTGAAGTTGTTCTAGGGTTTAATGCTTTTTATTGCCTCTGTTGCTGCTTGCTAATCATGATTCCTTTCAACCTTTTATGATTTTTTTTAATGTAAGCCCCTTCCAGAACTTATTTTTTACTACCAAAAATTCACAAACAATATTTTATCACTCATTGTTCAGTAGCATCCAGGTCAGTAATCAGTACTGCTATAAGTAATCTGGCTGCTGCTTACCATTCCTTGTTAAACCACAGCTTTCTCCTAAATCCCAGAACAGACCAGCTTCTTTCCCGTCACCTCATCTGTTACCATGATTATGCCATTGCCTCAGCCTTTTCTGCTGCCTCAGAAAACTCCTTTGTTCCCTCAACTCGTGGAAATAATCAGGATGGTAGTGACCAAGCCACATCGTCTATGCACTCTCTCCTGCACATTCCGCCCAACAGAACTGAGCCTGCGCCCTGTGCAGTTTGCTCCTCACGTCTAGCATCCTGCTGCTTCCGAGTCGGAAGACAGTGCTGCACCTCTTCCTGCTTCCCTTTCCTTCCACCTATCCAGTCAAAAGGCATGGACGGCTCCAAGCAGCTTCCAGTCCACCCACCTCACAGACCTCCCACACCCGTGACATCATCCAGTGTCTCAAAGGCCTTCTATCAATTAGCTGCGTTACTTCCAGCTCTCACTGAACACGTAATTACAGAGCTTGCTGCTGCCGTGAGGTGTGCATTCCGCTAGTTCCCGGGATCACAAACAGTCATACACGGACCAGGCCCTTAAGTAAGACAGAATTCCAACAGTGTAAGACAAAACCCAAATCAGAGGTCAGTAAAGGATATCATGCAAGAAAGGCCTGACCTGTTGCTGGGCTGTTGGAAGGAGGGACTCAGAAGGACCTGGCAAGCACATGCAGGCATTACGCAGAACAAAGCATTTCAGGCAGAGAAGCACAGAGGGAGAGAACAGAGGGCCAGAGTTAGGCAACAAAGAAAAGAAACTCAAGACAGTCCAGTTTCAAAAGTTTACAGCTCTGTAAACTTATTTCAAATTACTACTAAAATAACTACGGAAAATAAAAACCTCATTCTTTACCAGAATATTAATCTAAATTTTTCTTCAGCACAGCAACTAGAGCCCTTTGACCGTTCTTACACGAACATAGCTCCCTCTTAGCTTACACAACACCGTTTGAGTGATGCTGCGACACAGGGGCACCTACCTGTAAGACGGCCGCCGTGCCAGGATCCCGTGGGCTTTCTGGGAGGAGCCTATGCTGTCCGACGAGTCCTGAGACTCCTCACTTTCAGATAAAGATGATACCTTAAAAAAAAGGGAAATGACTTTAACATGAACAATACAGATAGAGAGAGAAACCAATTTCTATTGGAAAACCATGTCTCCTGCTGCTTATTTACTTCCATATTGAATCTAACATTTAAAACAAAAAACAAAAGGAAAAGAACAAAGTTCCTCCCAGGAGTCCAGACTAACAAAACCAACATATAACACAGCAGGCCTTGAGCTAAGACAAACTCTATCCTCCACGCACAGCAGTACTGTTCCGCTAGGATTCACATGAGCAGTCTCCCCGTCATGTCCACTCCAGTCCTACATGGACAGATCCGACTCAAACATGTGTGTCTTTGTAATCACCGAGGCTGTCTGAAAGCCCATGACAGCCACCTGCTGACACTGGGCAAACTGCTGAAGATCCCGGAATGCCTATCAGAGAGAAGGTCTGGGCTACCATAGCATTAGAAGCTCACACCACAGCTAACAGGCAACACAAAAAAAGGGAATTCACAGCAGAAATGAGGATTTAAAATTATTCCTGTTCACAGACAACATAATGCTACACAGAACCAAAGGTTTCACTAAAGAAACTACTGTAACTCTTAAGAGAGTTTGTCAGGACAGCAGGGTACAAAATGAATGACCTAAGTCGCCGACCTTAGTATACACAAATAACTTCATGGTTAAACAACTGTAAGTATAAGTGCTTTAAAACAGTGGAAAACAGTTTGCAGCATGGTAGCCTAGCGGCTAAATCCTCCCTTGTACCTGATGGGATCTCATACACATACCAGTTCTTATCCAGGTTCTCAACGTCCCATCCAGCTCCCTGCCTGTGGCCTGGGAAAGCAGTGGAGGACAGCCCAAAGCCTTGGACCCTGCACCTGCCTGGGAGACCTGGAAGAGGTTCCTGGCTCCTGGCTCCTGGCTTCGGCCTGGCTCAGCTCAACTCAGGCCATTGTAGCCATTTGGGGAATGAATCAGCAGACAGAAGACCTTTCTCTCTGTCTTTCCTTCTCTCTGTAAATCTGACTTTCCAATAAAATATTAAATTGAATTGAAATTGTGGAGAATAATCTTAAAATGCTTTGAAATAAACCTAACCACCAAAGACACAGAATATGTCTATGATGAAAATTAGAAAACATTAACAAAAGAAATAGAAGACATGAAAAAATGAAGAAATTTACCATGCTCCAGGATTGGAAGAATCTATATCATCAAAATATTCGTATTACCAAAAGTATCACACAGATTCAATGCAATCCCTACCAAAATTCCGACAACATTCTTCTCAGAAATATAAGAGATAATAGGAAACTAATCTGGAAAAAAGCAAAAGACCATGATTAGCCAAAGGAATCCTGAAGAATAAAAATCAAGCTGCAGCAATCACAATTCCAGACCTCAAGGCCTGCATCAGGGCGGTGGTCATCAAAACAGTCTGGTACTGGTACAGGAACAGAGATCAATGAACAGAAGAGAAACAGCAGAAGTGAGCCCACACACACACAGCCACTAACCTTCAACAAGAGGACTGAACATAGCCCAGGGAAAATGCTGATCTCCTCAACAGATGCTGTTGGGACAACTGGATAGCAGCCTGTCTGGGTTTTGGTCTGCTTCAGGCCCCAAGGTCACCCAGGGTGAGGCAATGGTGTTCCTTGGCCACAAGAAGCACTGAGAACAAGCTGGTGAGGAATATTTGTTGAGTCAGCCCAAGTCCAAGGTTTATGATGTCTAAGAAAAGAGATGGTAGGAGGGCGTTTTCAGGTATTCCTTCCCCCAATAGTGACACTGACTGGCTGAAAGGCACGCCTGATCCTACTGGCCTTCCAATCACATCAGAGATCACATTCCATATACAGGGTTGGAAGTCACACCCCAGACCAGGGTAGACAAACTCTAAGTCACGCCCTCCAGGTGGCAGGCAGAGACCTGGGATGATTTCCCACAAGCCTGCAGGAGCAAGACCTCCACGTCTCACATGATACAAAAATCAGCTTTAAATGGATAAAGGACCTAAATCTGCACCAAGAAAATATCAAACTACCAGAGGAAAACACAGAAAGCATCCTGAAGATACAGGCGCGGGCGAAGACTTTTTAGAAAAGTCACCAAAAGCATAGTCAAAGCCAAAAATAACTATATCAAACTAAGAATCTTAGGTACAGCAAAGGAGACAATCAACAAAGTGAAGAAGCAACCAACGGAACGGGAGAAAATTTTTGCACACTACACAACAGGGGACCTTACAAAAGGCTTCAGAAACTCAACAACAGCAAAACAAACAACCCTGTGAAGAAATGGGCAAAGGAGATGAAGAGGCATTTTCCAGAAGAACAAAATCAAATTGGCTAGCAGGCACATTAGAAAAAAATGCTCAGACTCCCTAGGTATCAGGGAAATACAAATAAAAAATACACTGCATTTCTACCTAACTCCAGTGAGACTGGCCTACATTTGGGAATCCACTAACACACCGCTGATGGGAACGTAGGCTGGTGCAACCACTATGGAAGCTAGTACAGAGTATTAAGATAACTAAAAATTGACCTGCTGTAGGACCCAGCTATCCCACTTCTGGGAATATATCCAGAGGAAAGGAAATCTGCAAATGAGAAAGTGACCTGCAATCAACAACAGAAGACATGGCAACAACTCCGATGCTCCTAGAAAGGAATGAAAAGGTAAAACTGTGGTAGCTATTCCACGGAGTATTTTTCAGCCATGAAAAACAATGAAATTCTACCACTTGTAACAAAATGATTCTTACTAGAGATCATTACGCTCAGTGAAACAAGCCAATCCCAAAAGGACAAATATCATACATTCTTTCTGATTTAAGAAACCTTCATGCAAAATACAAGATAATATCTCCACTCACGAACAAAGGAAGACTCCCAATAAAGCTGTCAAACGTACCTTGGTAACAGTATACTAGGCTTTCTACCACCGCATATTCCTACAATGCCAAATGGCATAAGACACTTAAATAGCAGATTGTTGCATTTCTGACTACTGCTGAAGGACTAAAATACTGTAATAATTTTCTTACATTTAATTTTTTATTATCATCATTCTATGATACAGTTCCATAGGCCCTGGGATTTCCCTTATCCCCTCCCCATTTCCCTCACCCATCACAGAGTTCCCCTAAATCATAAATATGGTATAGTTCTTCATACACAGTCATATGTCCATCATTGCGGGCATGGACAATGGCAGAGTCCAGCATCCTATTGTCAAGATATAATAAACAGTTTCATTTTAAGTTCATCTTCGTCTTGAAGTATGCATACTGCATTGTATCCTCACGTCTGAATATGACAGTCTCCAATACACAATTACTGTACATCCCCTTAAATGAAAAGCCACAATACAAAATCAACAACAGGAAGAAAAAAAAGAAACTAACAACACCATGGAGTTAAATAACATGCTACTGAATGACTAATGTGTCGCTGAAGAAATGAAAAAGAAAATCAAGAGCCTTCTTTAAGAAAATGATGCTACTGCATGATCGGTCACTGAAGAATTTAACCAGAAGGATGAAACTAAGCAAATCAAAACGCATGAGATATAATTTCCGCTGATCTTTGTTGCTGAAATGTGTCTCCTGTAGGCAACAAGTAGATGGGTTTTGTTTTTTAATCCGGTATACTAATCTATGGCATTTCATCGATGACATTTACATTCAGGGTTGATATGAATGCAGAGTAATTGGTCCTGTCATTTCAGCAATGGGTTGTTTATTGATTTAGTCTTCTGTTGTTATTTTACTGGGATGCTCTTCACATTTACCTGGTTGTTGTTTTGTTTTGTTTAGTTTTTTACTTTTTTTTTAATCACTAAGATATACAGAGAAGAGGAGGTACAGAGAGGAAGATCTTCTGTCCGATGATTCACTGCCCAAGTGACTGCAATGGCCAGTGCTGAACCAATCCAAAACCAGGAGCCAGGAACTTCCTCCGGGTCTCCCGTGTGGATACAGGGTCTAAGGCCGTCCTCAGCTGCTTTCCCAGGCCACAAGCAGGGAGCTGGATGGGAAGCGGGGCTGCTGGGATTAGAATTGGTGCCCATATGGGATCTCAGCATGTTCAAGCTGAGGACTTTAGCCGCTAGGCCACGGCACCGGGCCCTTGCTTTTGGTTTTGATGAGCATTATTCCTTTTCTCTGTCAAGGGAACATCTTGAAGTATCATTTATAGGTTTGGAAGAGGCATATTCCTTTAACTTTTCTTCACTGTGGAAGAATTTTATTTCATTTTCAAAGACAAAGGAAAGCTTTGCTGGTTAAATTCTCCTTGGCCAACAATTTTTTTCTTTTAGAATCTGGAATATGTCACTCCATTCTCTTCTTGCCTGTAGAGTTTCCCGTGAGAGGCTTCCTGCGAGTTTAACTGGCATTCCTTTATATGTCAGTTGATTTTTTTTCACATGGACATTTAAGAATCTTTTCTGTATATCCAACTGAAGAGAGCTTGATGATCATGTGTCGGTGAAGATCACTTTCGGTCAACCACGTCGGGAGTTCTGTGTCCCTCCTGGATGTTGTTTCCCAATTCTTCCTTAGATGACGGAAAATTTCCCTTATTATTTCATTAAATACATCTTTAATCCCAGCTTTTCTTTCTGCGCCTTCTGGGACTCCTATAACGCTTATATTTGGCCTCTTAATAGTGTCTTTCAATTCTTGAATACTTTTTTTGGCCTGATCCAGCTCTGCTTCCAGCTTGTTTGTTTCCCCCTGGTGACAGGAAATATCTTCTAATTTCGAGATTCTTCCATCTGTCTTCTTCATTCTATTTTGGAGACCCTCCACTGTACTTTTAATTTGCTTCACTGTATTCTTCATTTCTAACGTATCAGCTTTCATTTTATTAATTTCCTGTGTGACAAGTTCCTTAAATTCCTTGAATGCCTGCTTTATACACTTCTCATTGTTGATAAGAAGCTTTACAACAAGTATTTCGAATTCTGTATCCCTCATTTTCTCGATGTCTTCCTCAATTAACTCTGAGGTT